AATATTATTTTTTAATTAAATAATTTTATTTTTTGTTAAAACATTTTAAATTTAAGAATCCTTTATATTTATATAGTTAAGGCTGTAATTAATATAATATTTTAATTGAAGTTATGTTTCAAAATAAAGAAAAATAATTTATTAAATTTTTAATATATTTCGGATTTTTACTTCCGTAATGATAAGTAGACAAATGGATAAATTGTTAAACATAAAATATTTTCTTAATCCATGTGTAGAATAATAATGCAACTTAAATATATTATAAGTATTTTAGCTGAAATTGTGCTTTAAAATAAAAAAAAGTCCTTCAGTAAAATAAAATAGAAATTTGTAAATGAAAATTTTGTTTTTTTATCGCGAATATATCTTGTATGACAAAGAATGATGATTGATCGTAGTGGAAAGTAATCATGTAAATCCAAGTAATCGATTTTCTTTCGCTTACCACGCGACACTTAGTGATCACGAAATTCAATTTGCTTTTAACAAAATATTAGATGGAGTCGCCGCTGCGACCGAATTCGCGAAGCCTCGGATTTCGAAAGATTTGTCACCGACATATATTAGTATCCTCAGGGAGAACAACTCAGAGGAAGATACAGAAACTTCTCACTCGCGGAAACATATGTAGCGCACGTTCGTCTGCGGAGAAAGAATTCTTTATGGACGCCTCGTAGAGACTCGTATATTATCGCATAATCGTAAAGGCTTAAGCGCAATGCGGTCGGTTTCTCTTCACCAGAAAACTCGAGTTGAAACTACGAACGTTGCGTTTTCTTTCCGACTGTCTTTTCACCATCTTTTTCTTTCTTCGTTCCCTTCTCCTTCTTTTTCGTAGTATTTGCGTTATTCTCTGGCTCTCCAGGAGGATTTCACGGACAGTTCGGTCGCACGTAAAAGATGAAACGCCAGCGGGAGAAGCAGACAGCGGGACGAGGTCTCAAGGCAGGAAGCTGCTTGTGAATTTTTCAGACTACGATGAATTACCTCTGATAGCAAGTCCGGACGCAGAGCTGCACGGAGAACGAGAGCTCCTATAGTGATGGATGGGTAGATAGTTTGTGCAAATTGTAATAATTCGATGAAGTAGTGTGTCTGCATTATATATTTATCGTGATGAAATCAGTTGGAGTGGGTGGTGTGAAAGCAACTGAGTCTTAAGGCGATTGCTTCGTGCAAAATTCGATCGATGAATAAATTTCATGAAAGTAGCTGTCGAGAATGCATTGAGGAAATCGAAAGAATTTTCTGATTTGCTATTTTCGCGATAGATCAATCATTTTTTGCTCTTTATAATAATTGTTTTTAAAATACAAGTTAAAATTTGCAGAAAATGATTCGCGCGATTTTAGATCTATATTATCGTAATAATAAGATTGAGGAATTGAGTTAAAATATATTATAAGTCTCATATCATGTTAAAAGACAGAAAAATAAAAATGTCTTTAGCAAAAGCATTTATATCCGATGATTTATCACAAATTACATCATAATATGTAAAAAAAAATAACACGTTTTTGAAACTACAAGGAATTAACGAATATCCGCTGTTACAAAAATTAAGATAAAAAATTAATTTGTATTCAGCAAATTGCATATTATTGTAATAATAAAATTGAAGAAGTGAAATAATATATGACAGGTAATATATTGTTTTATAAAATAAAAATGTCTTTATTAATGTAACATATATACAGTATTCATAAATTATACTGTAAAGAATATAATAACAAAATAGTACGCTTTTGAAATTACAAAGGGGATATTTATTGTTAGTGCGAATTAATTTAAAAAGTTAATTTGCGTCGCCATTTTCTGTTAGTCTTGGATGTGTCAACAAATTACATAGCTGATTACTATTATGATGCGAAATGTATTAGAATATTTCACAAAGAAAAATATGAGACAATCATATATGTATGCGCTTCTTTATATGTTAAAAAATACTTGTACAAAGTGTTATTTTAGACTTCAGAATTGCATATTTAGAAGCACATAAAGAAAGAGAAAAATTTTTTAGCATGATATATCTGTCTTCAACTTTAAAGTCCTTGAAGATATGCAATTTTGGAATTTGAGATGAAACAGAGAAAATATTTCAGTCTCAAGCTGGTCGCGGTTATGATATTGTATCATTCACGACAGGAAAATCCAGGATCTCATCATTATACTTTGCGTTTGGATGTACCATTTTCTTCTATATTTATGAAGACTAGTTTTCTCTCTCTCTCTCTCTCTCTCTCTCTCTCTCTCTTTCTCTCTTATTACAAAACATTTGCGGATGAGATCTCTTTCGCGAGACATCCACGACAGGACGCAATATCGCATCGCGACTACAAACGTGCATACACGCCTCGCATAACATGCGCGATATTACGCTGGATAAGAAAGCCTAGGATTTTTATTTTGATTGTCATTGCTTGAAATGTCCCCTCCTCCCGCGGTGACATCACAGTTGGAAACCAATCAACCAGGGGAATAATTAAATTTTATTACATAATAGCTCCAAAAACTATGGATGTGAATTTAACATGCAGTGATTATATAATTCTCACTAAGTTGGTATTGATATAAACAATATAATGTGACCTTAACATTAAGGTTTTTAAATCCACATATTGGTGATATTAACATGGTGAGAATTATATATATTAAATTTTAAACATCGTATGTTTAAAATTAAATCCACACCTATATTTTTAGGGTGCTTCTGCAGTTAGCTCTTCATGTGAAGTTTATCTTACATAGCACAGACTTTCCAGCGACGTTTAAAGATATTCAGATGATATTCTACATCCCAAAAATTGTATCATATGTATTGTATATAAAAATTGTATTCTACGTCCCTCGGATAAATTGTATCATATGGGATGATCTATGATGCGAGTAGTTAACATTTTCGCATAATTCTTCGATGAGTGCGCGAAGTAATCCCATTTGTTTCAGTAGAATTAACGATTGAGTAAACTATCGTCGAGCGTATATTTCTGCCTCACCTGATAGTCCATGTAATTTCCATAGCCCATGTGGTTGCATGTGCAGGCGCATGCCTGAATGTGCCTCCGCATGTCGAGTTCTACCTCTTCGCCGCATACGCCTCTGCTCGTCGCCATCATCGTATCTCCCATGCAATAGCCGCCGGTGCAATACATTCTCGGGTCACTCTGATCCAGGTAACCCCCACCAGTGTCGTCGTATCCGAGCCCGCTGGCGCACCTGGAATCCGAGGCGTATCCCACTCGGGACTGAGGACGTTCCTCGTAGCCCAGTCTAGACTGGGACCGGTGGAATGTCGAGGATACATCCTAAAAAAAAAAAGGAAGATTATCTTGCAACAAATCACTTAGTAGTTGAGAATTCTGGATTTAAACTCCGCCTGAGGATATATTTTTCGCAATAAGTTTTTTGTAATATTCTTTTAAAGATGTTTATTAACATCGCTATTAAAATTGACGATCAATATAATTTATTATGTTATTTCCAGTTTTAATTTATGATCGCATTTTAAGTCTAACAAATTGAATCGGGGCGCAAGTAGAACTAAAATATGTATTTGCAAATGAATATTATTAAGCATCAAAATCCATTTCGAAAATAGAATTCTTTTTATGATTTAAATCATTTAGTCTTTCGTCTGGATCAAAGTTAGCGATTGGCAACTCATAATTAATGCAACCGACAATATTACGATTTCTATCTCATAGCAAACTCTTTTTCCGGAAATGTATCGGTTTTTTAATTATTCACGATTAAATATTTATATTCACAGTAAATCAATTTTAAGTTTGCATTTCCGACATTTTATAACTCAAGATATATATGTTAATTTTACAGAAAGCTTAACTAAATTTACGTAGTTTTATTAGATTTTTAAATTCGAATATTAATTTTAGTGATAAATTTTGATAAAATTATTTTTAATAAACAAGTAATTTTATTTTTTATACGTGTGTTATTTTTTTTACTGTAACTCGCAACTTTCCTTTTGTGTCATATTCAAAATCATACAAATATGATTTGTTAAACGATAAACAATGAGAATGTGTCAAATATGATTCTATGCTTGTTGGTTGGGATATTGTTGTATGTATGTATCAGTTAAAACGAATGGCATGTACCTTCTATGCATTGAATAGCAACTTTAATTGGCTTTTTTTGTATACAAAATACTGACTGAAAATGATCTGAAAATAATACTGTTTTTGTTTGAAATATTGTCGGGAAAAAGTCATGTAAATCGAGTTAAATTAACTGTCGAATTAAATTAACTGTTATCAATATTACGTAAGCGATAAAAATTAATAAAAATAAAGAATGAAATGTAATTATAATATTGAGCAAAAATCGAAGAAATATTAATTGCTTCTTAAAAAATAAATTATAAACTAACTTGTATATTTATAAATATATTTATAAAATTATATTTTTAACACTAATATATGGTAGAGTAGTATAAAATAAAATAGATTATCTAATTGAAGTATTCTTATGCTCCTACTGTATATGTATGTATTGGTTGAAAGCAATTCGGTTGATTAATCCGTCTTCGCAAACGAGATATCGTTCGCCAACCAAACATGCCAAGAATCTCTTGGAATATGAAGAAATTTAATATTCGAGACGTACAGCGAGTACTTAAAATTTGAAAAGAATCATCTTAATGCAGCCCACAAAGGCGGAATGCGTTGGCGTGGGAATTGCAATTGCGTAAGAGAATGTATAACGTGCCAGTCGCATCTGCGGATTAAATCTTTTCCATAACATGCGGAATTACTCACTTCGGTTTATACATCCACGGCAGTTTCTGTATTTATGCAACAAGGAGAAGGGCTTGTGTTACGAATTGCATAAGTAACGATCGATTTGCAATAAGTAACGATCTATAACAAGAAAAGCATTTTGTGCGAAAATATACTGGATATTTCTCGATTGTCATAATTTTTGAAATACTTTCAATGGATTGACAACAAAATGTTTCTAAAATTTGATTTTTAATAAAGAATTAATTGTGTTATTAAGAAAATTTCAAATTTATTAATTTTTTTAATAAAAAATCGAAATCAAATTATATTTTTTTTTTAGCGAAATTTTGTCTCCCCATCATATTTTTGTAGCACACAATAAAAATGAATTCATAAAATATAAATTGATATAACATTATATATTATTTTGTTTATTCGATCTCAAGATAATTCAATTAATATTTAGAACATAATCCACGAATTTATTGTCAATACGTAAATTTAATGTTGTAAATTTTAATTAAATTAAATTATTTTTAATTTTTAATTAAATTATCTTGAGATCAAATAATCAAAATAATGCTATATAGATAAATTCATCTTTTTATTACAATATAAAAAGGAAAATATATAGTTTCACTTTAAAAAAACATAATTTGACTTCGAATTTTTATTAAAAAATTAAATTCTTTTTATGTAATTAATTTTTTATTAAAAACTTTTGCCAGAAATATTTTGTTGTCAATTCAATTCAATGAAAATATATGAAACCGTAGTAATATGAGGAACACTTTCCATACAAGAGTAATGCGATAATTCACAATCGCTCTATTTTAATAATCTATTTTGGAGATTAATTAGAGTTGAATGTTTACCTATGAAAATGTTAAAGTAATAATTTTCGAATTATAAGCGATTATAGTTGGTCAGTGATTTACACGCTCACATAGATTGAGATCTGCAATATTTCATTTGCATTTGCTTAATCTGAATTCGGTATAATCTGTAATCTCTTATCGAATTTAGCAAATGATATTGCAAATATTATATACATTTATACATAATAATTATCGCACATGTTGTATTTTATTTTATCAATCTCTTTTTTCTCTTTGTATCCGGATATTTGCGTATTGAAATTTGAAAATTCTGTCTTCACTGATATAATCTGATAATTATAATACTATTAAAATATTATACAGTGATTATGGAACACTCTATATTTTCATATATCGTTTAAACATGAATTAATTGTCGAAAATCTTTTGCAAATCTATGATCTATCCAAAATAAATGTATTAATAAATTACATATATATGAAACTGATATCATTTTATATCTTTACGTTATCATTCCAAATTTTCTTGAAACAAACACTTGTATAATAGGAAAAATATTTTGTTTCATAAACCAAAATTTTGCTGTAACAAAATAAAATATTTGATTAAAATATACCAAACAAAACTGTTTAGTTGATATAAAATATTTTTGTAAAAAAATGTTTTTGTTTTTTATTATTTACAAAACAGAAAAATATATTTCGCAGAGGCAATTAAATTTTTTTGTTATATAAAACAAAATATTTGGTTGTTAAAAAATACCTGGACTAAAGTCACCTGGACTAAACAGTTTCGTCGAAGATATTAAATTTTTCTAATATAAATACGTGTATCGCGGTGAGTTTAAAGCAAAAAAATTATTAAAAAAAGGGAATTTTATTCGTCATGTTTATTTCTTCATTTTTTTCGGTACACTTGCAGTTATCACGCTTACGCGTAGCAGTATTCGATGGCTTGTGAGCTACCATATTCCGCGGTTATGTTGTCGCATCGTCGTTCGATATGGACGGCGTGACGTCGGCGGCTGCATGCACAACGACGACCGCCAGTGCAAATCAAGTGGCTTTCTATCGTCGCTATCTTTATACCCACCACCGATATGGCTTCCCGTAACAGTAAAGTAACGATATCGCTAAAATAATCGGAATGTATGTACGGTCTTCGAGGCCGAAACCATATGCACAGTGCAGGATTCTGAAATTCGCCTAGAAATGTTCTGTCGTCATCGCTATACGATTTTGAACGATAGAGACTGTAGAAGTATATCTTCGCTCCTTGCTTCGCCATTTTACGATCGCGAGATAATGTCTTTTGAACGATGCGTTCGATCGATAACTAATTTTTAAAGATTTGCCGTATCCCAAGCTTTGTAAATTCGATCTCGGTCTCGCAAAATGATACGTACTTAATATAACAATAATGTACGACAAGTTGCGCGTATCTTTATTTAAATAAAGTATGAAATATTTCTTTTATTCAGATAAAAAAAGAATGAACTGAGGAAAGCTGTCATAAATGAGAAAATATATAACATTGTTTTGGGAAAAATCTTTTATTTTGAAAAATTAATATTTTTAATTATTTATTATTATTAAATTATTAATTATTAAATTGTTAAATTTTCTTTTTTGTTAATTAACTCTAATCATAATTCAGATCCAGTGTATACTCAGATATTTTCTTCAATTACATTATGAAAAATTGTTAAAAATGAATATTTTTCACAACTTACATAATTTTAAGTTAATCTTATTTCTCGGATTTTGTTCTCTAAAATGGACTTGTATTATATTAGTTAAACAAGTTTTGGAATGAATGTCGATTATAGAGTTAAAGTTTTACAAATTCTCCTATAATCTAATTCTGTATTAATAAATCCTTTTTAGAAGAAAAATAATACAGCAGTGTAATTAAATAAAGAAAGTACAATGAGTCACTTGCGGCGATATCATTCTGTAGAAAATATCGAATGGTGGACAGATGATCGGCACGTGATCGCAGTGCGTTATGCATTTGCGAAATTGTGTCCGCAGGCGACGTGTGGCTCGCTCGCGGCTAGAGATGTCGAAATTTAATAGCATATTCATACTTTTACTTTTTGGTTTTAAATACCGCAAGTATCGACATTTTCTATAACATTCTCGATATTTCTCGTTCATAAATGTTGATATTAATGTTCATGATACATAAGAAAGACAAAGACTTGTTGAACAATTGAATTTAAACGAGGACAATCAATGCAACTCGGCGCATCTTTATTCAAAGCTTCGATATCATGTCGATTTTATCCTTTAGCTATTTTCACGCATGATTACAATCATCGTTTTTAAAAGTAGTATTCAATGTAGAAAACAAAATATTGATACTGTTCGTGTTCTATTTCGTGCGATAATTAATTCAATCCATTAACGTCGATTTTATTCTCAATTTACCGTCATTTTCGCAATTCTACGGAACGTGATCTCGCGACGGAAACGACCTCCATCGAATCGATAGTCCATACTAATGTTCGTATGGTGAAACTTGAAGGGCTGAAGCGCGTCGAGCCGAATCAATTTTCAGATACCGAAAACCCATAATAGCTCTTCGAAGATTCCCGCGGCGAAGTTAAAGCGAACTCTAGCTGAATTTGCACAAGCGAAGAGACGAAACTCGTGACATACGGCTATTAGGAAACCTCTCTTGCTGACGAGACTATCTGAAGATAAATACCGAGCCTCTTTTCCTACGAGCATCGTATTAATAAACGCCGTTGAGTTGACGGGTGGAAAAAAATAACCTCGTCGCGATTAGCGATGCGACGCTTTTAGCTACGACGTTGCATTAAACTTCGATTCCAGAGTATTTCGAGGATGCATTCTTTTTCTGCTTTACGTATCACCCGCAAAGTTCTAATTGTAGTTGTTTGTCTTCTGCGTTGTGCGACAAAATATACGGAGTATTCGGAAATGGGTGGGTGGAAGATTTAGAGGCGTATTCTTTTGAGCTTAGTGCATTTTTATTGAATGGCATTTGAAAACGCTCGATATCTTATTTTATTTTTTTATATTGATTTTTTAAAAAGTACTATATTACAATACATTAATAATTTTTGGTAAGTTGAGTTTATATTTTCTTGAAAAAGAGCGATGACAATTCTTTTTGTCTTGTTTATGTATTGCGATGAATTATGAATTATAGATTGCATCTCATAAATAATTTTTCTTACATCTTTAATATCAGAAAAGGCGAGGCACATTATTATGCATGAAAACTTCTCGCGATTCGTATTATCGGATAGCGATCGTTTCAGTTCGCTGAATCATGGTGATCTTAAAGTCTGCCCTTTCCACGTTAACTAAGCTCCTATTTCCCTGGAAGCAGCAAATTCAATTTTCGCCATTCGATAATCATAAATACCAGACTCGAGTGGTTACATTATAAAACGGTGAACTCGTTCGATTCTATTGGATAATTATCATGTAATACCTATATCTAGAGGGGATATCAAATTTAATCGACGTCGATTTGTGCAGTGACACTTTGTACCGAAATTCAATGCGAATAACCGCGATATTAATCGCATTAAGATATATAGTTTATCTTAATTATCAATATTAATTTTAGCTTATGACGACAGAAAAGCAAATTTATGTATTACTCGTTAAATATTTTTACGAAAAATATGCCATTTATTCATGAAGATACAGACAAAAAGTATGAATGGGACTTATTTATTTGTGCTGCGTAAATATATTTTAAACCTACTTTCAAAGTTAAATTTTATCTGATTATTCTATTAAAACTTTTCATTTGTTCACATGTAATTTGATGGAGAATAAAGCATACAAAAGAATAAAGCATCTATCATGAAACAAGTCGGAATGGATTCCGATCGGAATGATTTCGTTTTTCCCTAGGAAACACAATAGAAATCTAGGGAATAATTGAATAATTCCGATCGGAATTCATTTCGAATAATTTCATAATACATATCCAGTAGTAATAATAACTATAATGTAATTCCGAACGAAAAGGCAATATTGATCGAATTTTTTAAGCAATCGGAAACTAGTAATTCCAGTACTAATAACACAAATCAGTCTATTGTGCTGGCGAAAAGTTTTTCATTATGCAATATTCGTATGTTTTCGTACGCAATCGGATCAACCGTGTTTAATTCTTATTTAACGACCGAATTTCTTTGCAATATTTGAGAAGGCATATTTTGCCGTTATACATAACTTGCTATTTTTTAAATAAAATATTTTTATTCTTCGAACTTGTACATGCGAAGAATGAGAAAATAATATCGGTAAGTTCGTATAAAATTACGAGGGATTATAAACTTTGCGCGACACACTGAATATCGTTAACTTTGCGGAACTGACGGTGGGTTCATTAGACTTATTCAATTATAAATCTCTTTATCAAAAATGTCAAACAATTCAATCTTCTTTATTTTACACGGAAAAATTTGGATTCTTATTAAAATGTACTTAGTATTAATTCTTTTTATACGAATTTAGTTAGCATAAATTAAATGGATTTCACAGACTCAACGTCAGGAACTGTGTTACAGATTTTGGCGTCGATTTTTTTTGCGAATTCAACAGCTGGAGTGTTTTTATACTCCAGCGGAAAAAAAATATAAATTGTTATAAAATATTGCTTTGTATTGTTCAACATATTTTCTATCTGTTTTAATAATTATTTTCTTTTTGAATCTTTAAATATGCATTCCATTGAAAATTCGCAATAAAGAAACATTATATTAATTAAAACCTTTATTTTTTAAAAATATTATTATAACGTAAGCTACTTAATGTGCTTATTTTAATATTTGTTTGGTTTCTACTTGTTTTTTCAGAAAATTATGATTAAATTATGATTAAATTCGTATCATTAATATTCTCAAATGCTAATATAAATTGGAAAATAATCAATAACATACAATATGTTATTAATGGTAATTTTAATTGGGGTGTAAAAATATCCTGGATGATCATTTATGTAGAAAAATCATGTGACCGCTCCTGGATTAATTAATATAAATTAAATGGATTTTATAGATCCAATAAATGTGTTACAAATTTTCAGTTCAGATTCGGAGGATTAATACGGTCGAACTAATAAAATTCATACCTGAGGATAGGACTCTTCTTGATACGGCGTCCTGCGATGGCACTCGTCGTAGCACCTGGCATCGTAGCCACTGGGCGGCCGTGGGTACGGATCTTGCGCCGCTACCGCAGCCGCGCAGCAGTCCGGGATTTGCGCCTGGTAGGTCTCATAGGGACACTTTTGATCAGGCTGGACCGGTCTTGGAGCTTGGTGAACGCGCTCCTGCGGCCCGCTTCCGTAACCGGCGCCGCCGCCACCACCGCCGACTCCGCCGACACTGCCACTTCCGCCACCTCCACCGCCGCCACCACTACCGCCACCGCCACCGCCACCGCCACCACCGGCGTGATGCATCGTCGTCGTCCACTCTCGCGGACTTCCTCTCACCTGACCTCGCACCACACCACCACCACCCTCTCCCGATCACTGCATCCTAATGCTGCGTGGCGCGCGATATGCGATCGAATCCGCGGCCTCGGCAAGCCTTGTCTCTGACGCGCGGGCCTCTTCGCACGGGTCCATCTTCACCACATTTAACTATATCTTGAGCTCTCTCTCTTTCTCTCTGCAAGCATCGGGTCCTTTCTAGCCCATCTCCTACCCGTACCTATGCAATTATTGCGTATGAGAAATTAAAGTGCGGAAGATGTGTATTCGCGGGTACATCAATTTGTCAAGTGGAAATGTGCACCGCGAACGTCGCCCGCATTCGCGCTTGCATCCCTCTCGAATTAATGCACCACATTACAACCCGGACTGATGTAACTCTGGGCCATCTGTATCTTCTCTTAACTGCCGAAAGTAAACCGCAGGGTCTCTTCTTTACCTACTTTGCGCGCATATCCACGAGTTAAGGTCGAAGGGAGAGGACTTTTTTGCATTATTTACTCGAGCTCTTTTAATCTTAGTCCCTTCGGGCGCTTTTTCAGCGTCGTTTCGTAGCGTAAGCTTTTAGATACTCGCGGAACGACGATGCTCGATCAACGTGCCAGACTTGATCCACTCATTGATCTTCTCTGACCCCTTGTCTGGCGAAGCGTACGGTGTGTTGCTGTGTAAACTAATGAGTTTGCAAGGAGTAGGATGAAGAATCGATCCTCTCTGCAATTTTGACACGCTAAGAATGCTAATGCGCAGCACCGGTCATTTCGTAAGCTGCTTTTGAGACACGTGACGGTCTGTTATGTCAACAGACATCGAGTACGTTAACGTGATGTTACAGAAAACGGTTTTTGATTAGTTAATTGTATTTACAATTCTTTCTTCTAATTGGTCAAATGCTTCAATTAAAGCGTCTGCAATGAGACTTTAACTGCAGCCAACGGTGAGGATATTCTTTTATACATATACACATGGATTCATGGAATACTAACTTCATATGATCAGAGTATTTACTGTAATCTTGTAAAAAAATCTTGGAGAATTTTTCAGATATTTTTATTTAAAATTTCAGAGAAGTTTTTAATGCATCTTTGAAATAAATTGAAACGTAAGCCAACTGTATATTAAAGATTATTATAAAAGGTTATTATAGAAAGGTTATTATAGAAAACAGATATTCCACGAGACTATATTTATATCTTTCTATGATTACCACAAGACCTAGGATAGTATAGACAAAGCTTACTATGTACAAAATAGTGAGCATTGTCTTCTATTCTGTCATTCTAATTTATGTTATAAAACTTACCAGATACATGAGAATATACACGGATTTATATACCATTCTTATTGTCAATCAACATTTTGTACTATCAAGACAAAAAATGATGAAAAAACAATATTTTCAGGAAAAGATAGAATTTTTTAAAATTTAAAAGTACAATTTAAAATTCCAAAAATTTCTTTGAGTCTTGATTACATGAAAATCTAATTTTCAAGAAAAAGAGACATCTGGAAATTTCAGATTTCTTCTAAGAAATAAACACTCTAATATATTGATATTACTGGAATGCGTCCCTATTATTTAAATGTAAAAATCAAGCATCAATAATAAATTTCTGAAAGTATTTAGTATTTAAAGGTAATTTAAAGGTAATTTAAAAGGAAAACATAAAAAATATGCATTTATTATTTTACTAAAGATGATTTCGAATTTATATAGCCTAGCTGTTAATTGAAACCAAATGC